ATATTATATTAATTTAACTATATAAAATATGAAATATTGCTCTATAATATGTATATACCTATTGGTGTGTACTGTTATAAAGTGTCTTTTGGTAATACAAACTTCTGTTTTTCAAATGAGAACCRTCCTTTTCCTACTGTAAATTATTTAGTGGATAATTTTTTTGAAAATTCGAGTAGTTATTAAATTATTATTTAACTTTGAGTACAATGAATATTAATATATAAGTCCACACGCGCGGTGACTGGTTTTTAAGATAATATGGTATATGGTGGTTTGAAAGTGTTAGTGATTTAGTAATCTATCGTTAATAACATTTTAAATGATTTAATAACCGAGAAACCACTCGTTGGAATGTTAAATTAGATCTATCAACATTTTCTAAAAACGATCTTATAACAATTAGGTACAGTAAAAAAGTGGAGTTTCATTWAAAAAAAACTGATGTTTGTATCGACACAGGATACTCTGTTAGTAGGGCCACGATTAAAGTGTATTATTAAAGTGTATCTTTAATCGTGAGTTAAGTGGAAAAATAAAATTAAGAATTTGAAAAAAATGGTCATCATCATTGAGTAAATTTTAAAATTCCAAAAGATTCAGTGTTTGTACTGCAAATTTATTATCAAAGAAAAAAAATGGGGGTGGATGTTTGGTCAATCACCTCGTACACGTATGTATATGTGCGAAAAAAAGATACATGTATAAACCACCTTCTTTCGGGAAATATCTGGTTGTCCCACTGACTACTGCACTTATATTTTTATGCCACTCGACATACATCGGCCGCAGTAGCGAATATAGTAGTCGCTAACTGCAATAGTAACCACTAAGAACGTCACGAACAWCAAATTTATAGGTTTACTTACTGTTCAACATAGCGAACTGTATTACCTATCGTACACAGCAATACAGCATAGCATGAACGTAATATAACTCGCACGCATATTATAATATAGAAGCGGCGCGTGGTAGTAGGCGTGTCTTCCGGGACTTCTTGTGTACGCCGCCACCGACGACGACCAAAAGAGTGACATCAGGAGTGGCGGTTTCTGTTCGCGCGGCATCACCGGCACCGCCGTTAGTTAGCCGGTCGACGCACGAATCATTCGCTATACGCACGTGTGTCCGAGCGCACAATCGCCGCGCACGTTTTACCGGCGAGATTGTCGTCGCAATCATTTTTTTCTTCACATTTACAACTCGTACACGAAACCGTGTCTAACACTACGACTCGGTCGTCTCTATCTCTGTCTGCCACTCTATTTCTTTATCCAAATCGAAACTGACATTTAATTCATTGTTTTCGTCGCTATCGCAGGGCGCTTCCGGATTTCGTCGCAGTGGTCACTTTTTTCGGTTCCGCGAGAGGATTCGTTCGTGCCACCGTCGGCCGGCCGTTTCGGAGCCGCAGTGTCCGCGTTCGCCGCATAACCGGATGGCATGAGCCGCAGACCCGTCGCAGTCGCAGTCGCCGTCGTGGTCGCCATCGCGGCGGCCGTGTCGTCGATGTCTGTCGCCTTCGCGGACACCGTTTCCGCAGATGTACTACCGGACGGCGAAGTCGAGATACGCGTGAGCGCCGGCAACGTGACAGCCAAACGGACGTCGTTCACTTCACCAGATACCGGGTAACGAATGCGCAATATTATATTATTTAAATCAGTATCAGTTATTATATAGTTGGCATCTTCACACTTATTGCGCCTATTACGAATAAGGGGATTTTCGAGCCTAACTTGCTACACTGTTATCGCATTTAGTTTATTATTATGTATCAAATTACAAGTATCAGTTTTATGGCATTACAATTTTGAAAAATTACAATGTAGGTATCTTCCATTGTACCTATATATAGGTACTTACGAAATTCATACTATTTTATAATAGCGTATTATAGCGTTTAAATTGTATACCTACGACGAAATAATGCATACCCATATGAAATTAAAAATAAAGATTACAAATCTCAAAAATAAGGGAACACCGTAAGACCACCATAATTATTCCATACTTATTTTTGTGTTTATGAAAATTGTGTTTTGTACTTTTTAATCTGAAATTCTTCTACAGTTTTGCTTAGAAATTATTTTATTATTTTATATTTTTTTWAAGACATTTTTAATATTAAGTCAAACATAAAGACAATTTTTAATTGTTCCTCTCTTTTAATTAGGTTAGTAGGTAAGCACCTATATATATATTACATACACTAGACACCGCCGTGGCCCTAAATTATAATGGTGTATTCAATATAGTTATCTATTGTAAATTATGATTAGATACCTATGTATTTTATTATTTGTTTRAAATTATTTTGTATTTTTCTTTTTTTCCAAGTCTTTTTTTTATAAAATACTTTTTGTTTTAATACCATTTCGTTGACTTAGAAGTAGGAGTGTAGGAAGAGTAATTCAAAGAAAAATATCAATCGTGTAAATGCGAAACATAACCATCATTATTTTATTTATAAGCATATTGCAATTCTACATTCAGCACGTCAATCGGCACAACTAACTGCTAAAATGGTCATGCGATGAAAAAAAGTTTCTTAGCAAATTCCCAAACCAGTTTTATAAATATGCCCTCAAAGTACACATTATTATGCCTTTTGGTATTAATCAATTTAAAAAAAAATATATATACATATTTAATCTGCAGTCTGTTATAAATTTAAGACATTATTTATTTTAGGAAATTGTTAGTTGGCGTATATATGTATTTATTTTAGGGCATGARTTAACCTTTTTTGCTTAGTATAAAAACTTTAAGTAATATTCGTTATTACAGCATGGAATACTTATTTTTGTCTTAWTATTACACATTTATTCATTTTTTTTTCATCGTTAATTATTTTCTTTATTTTTCAAATGTTTGCTTTTTTATATGAAGTAGGTATAAATTGTATGCTTCACTCTTATCAATCTAAAAGTTAACTTTCTTTTCACAATTTWTGAAATTAAGCAATGTTATTTCTATAAAAAAATCTTTAAAAAAACATTTAGGTATAAATATTATTATTTATAATTTAAATTGATGTTTTCTTATACTATGCACAATAATTTTA